TCCAACTTCTGGGCTTAGGTGATTCTCTTGCCTCAGCCTCCCAAGTAGTTGGGATTACAGGCACCTGCCACAACGCCTAGCTATATTTTTGTTGCAGTTTGACCACGGCTGGGTTTGAACCCGCCACCTTTAGTATATGAGGCCAGTGCCCTACCCACTGAGCCACAGGCACCGCCCGTTACCTGGCTTTCTAACTATAATGTATCCACCCATTACACCTAGGGTGTATGCTTCATCAGCTGTGATGGTGACCTAATGTATTCCATTATACATACATGTGCCTTAATTTATTTGACCAATTCCTCACTGTCAGATGGGTTTTTCCAGTGTTTGGTAGTGCAATGAATTTTTTTACAGCTTATTCCATTAGAATAAGGTACCACAAAAGTAGAAGTGCCTAGACAGAAGCTCTCTATATATTTGACAGGTCTCATATGCACTGCTCATTGTGTTTCATCAGTTATATTTATTTTTTTGTCTATTACTTTATGAAATTATCTGTCTCCCTACGCCCATGTTAAAGTTTACCAGTATGAAAGTTAAGGCAGGCATCTCGAATGTATTTGTTCTTGTTTTATTTTAGTTAACTTTCATTATTAGTTATTAAGTCAACAATAATTTTTTAAAAACTTAAAATTGAATGCAAATGGAAACAGATGGATCCAGCTGTATTTCAAATCAATAAAATAACGACTCTGAGCAAAGAAAAATAACCCAAGTAACTGGAACAATGTCTCTAACTATATAATGCAACAGGGGGAAAAATGCCAATAAATATTGTGCTTCTTTTAGATCTGCTTTTCACAGGGATCCGGGGGAATGATTCTGAGTCAAATTTACATGTATTGTAAGATTGAATGAATGGGTAACTGTGTTGATGTTATGGACATTATAATTTTCATTATGGGAGGAAACACAGAAATATTGAATGGAGAAAGGCAAGCAAGGCAAGAAAGAACTCCTTGGGGGCTGGAATGGATTTGGAGATAGCAGTACTGACTCACAATTTTTACAAGCTGTATTACATATACACACACAACATGCATTAGCTATTTCCTTTCCAATCAATTAGAAGCTCAGACTCCTAATATGCAAGCCATTTTTCACTAAAAGGAACCAGAGCTTGCTGGAGAAATGAATGATTTCAGGAGATGGACAGAAAATGTCCAAGATGAGCTTAGAACATTCTATCATACCAGAAAGTAAAGCACTCATAAGATGATGGGAACAATCCAAAAAGACAAATGAGCCAGATGAAGGGGCTTCCGCTGGCAAAATCTAGGACCATTTCAAAACCCAAATAAATGACAGCTATAATGAAATTATTACAATCTAGGGAATAAAATAGGAATGGCTAAGTCATATTGATAGCAAAAAGATGAACAAATGAAAAAAATGCATGGGAAAAAAGCTGATGAGATGTGTGTGCAGGACTGGAAAATCATTAATTTTGCAACTTTATTATTATTTACTTTACCACTTTGTAACTTTATTACCATTTACTAGTAATAGTATTACTATCATTCTTTATACTATTGTGACTTTACTACTATAGTAAAGATTGGTTTATACAATCAATGGATGCTAAATTTATAGAAGTTTGATTAAGAATAGGTTTTAGACATGGTATTAAAGTGTTTTTCCCCAGAATGCTTATTAATTGCAAGCGAATAGAAGTAATCATATAGTGAAGAAAGTTGGACAACACCTTGACTATGTGACCACATTTCATATCATCCAAGAAAGTTATACCGACATTGTGCACCGCTGAATGTGATTCCCTGAGAAGTTCATGACCTCACTTACATAACATTCCAGCTAAAACTGCATTCTGAAATCTAATCATGAGGAAATACTAGATAAACCCAAACTGAGAAATAGAAATAGCTTATAAAATACCTGAAGTTAAGGAGTACTATGAAACTCTGAGAAAGGAAATAGCTGAAGATGTTAACAAATGGAAAAACATACCATGCTCATGGCTGGGAAGAATCAATATTGTGAAAATGTCCATACTACCCAAAGCAATCTACAGATTTAATGCAATCCCTATTAAAGCACCATTGTCATACTTTAAGAACTTGAAAAAATGGTACTTTGTTTTATATGGAATCAGAAAAAAACTCGAATAGCAAATACATTGCTCAGAAATAAGAACAAATCAGGAGGTATCACATTATCATACTTCAGGCTATACTATAAATCTATAGTGGTCAAAACAGCATGGTACTGGCACAAAAACAGAGCAGTAGATTTCTGGAACAGAATAGAGAACCAAGAGATGAACCCAGTTACTTGTCATTTGATCTTCGACAAGCCTATCACAAATATTCAGTGAGGGAAAGACTCCCTGTTTAACAAATGGTGCTGGGTGAACTGCCTTGCAGAAAAGTTACAAGGGTAGTCCTCAGAGCTCCTGTAACTCAGGGGTGTCCAACCTGGGGTTGGGTTCTTTTGCTCATCAGCCTTCATTAGTGTTTATGTGTTTAATGTGCAGCCCAAGACAACTTTTATTCTTCCCATGTGTGGCAGAAAAGAAAAAAGTCCAGACGCTCCTGTGTGTGCATCCATTCACCCAGCTTCTCCTAGTCACATGACCATGAACATTTTTCAAAATGTTCTAAGAAATTAACACTGGTACAATACCATTACATAAACTATCAGCTTTATTTGGATTTCACCAGCCCCTGTCTCTGTCTGACTAATGTCCTTTTTCTATCTTAGGATCAAACCAGGATACTATACTGCACCTAGTCCTCTGAGCTGTGAGTGTCTTGGTCTTGCTTTTTTGACCTTGACAGCTTTGAAGAATATAGCTTAGGTTTTTTTTTTTTTTAAATCTCTAAAAAATAGCTGGGCCTTGTGGCAGGCACCTGTAGTCTCAGCAGCTACTTGGGAGGCTGCAGCAAGAGGATTGCTTGAGCCCAAGAGTTTGAAGTTGCTCATGCTTATGCCATGGACCTCTACCAAGGGTGACAAAGTCAGACTCTGTCTCAAAAAAAAAAAAAAAAAGGAGTTAAATCACTTATAAATGATGGTACTTAACACATATGGGGGCTGCTTTCTTTTCCTACAGCACCTGTGACTTCCAGGTTTCAATTATTTTTAGTTTCTTAACTTTGGTCCCCAAGAATCATTTGCTATTCATTTTCACTTTTGCATTATCCTGACGGCTTTTACTTTCAACTAGCATCTAGTTAAATTTATAACAGTACAGATTAGGTCAGCAAACTACTGCCCGTAGTCCAAATCTGGCCCACCATCTGATTTTGTAAATAGATTTGTATCAGGACAGTGCTACACCCATTCATTAATACTGTTAGCTAAACTACCAGTTGAGTTTGAATCCTGCTTTTACCCTTAAGTGACCTCAGACAAAATGCTTTATTTTTTGAGCCTAAGGCTCCTCACCTGTAAAATGGAACACCACCATCTATTTTGTAGGCTGTGAACGTACATAACTAGCTGCCCACAGTGTCTGGTGTATGGTAGGCTCTTAATAAATAGTCGCCATTATTACTATTATTTTTATTAACAACAAAACCATTTACTTATACTTCTGTTTCACAT